ATGCTGATTTTGAAGGGCTTTTCTATTGCGTGATTTCTTGTATTTATAGCACCCCATTCCTTGAGACCAATTCGCATTATGATTCGGATTGGAAGTCCTTGTCCCATTTCACCTCTAACTCGAACAAACCTACTCCTACTGGGATTCTGAATTTTCCTTTCTTTTGAGGCTTTATTCCTTGCCGGTTGAGAATCCTAGTCGCACCAGGACTTCCTTGCCCTTTTCCATTTATCCGGACTACTTAGGATAGGATTTGGTCGACCCAGCCAACTGGCCCGAGATTTATTATTCAGCCCATAGTATTTGTTATCACCTTGGGCCGAGCACATCCTGCTACTCGGCCCAGCAGTAATATTTTGGACCCAAACAAAACCACATAGGTCATTTGGTAGCCCTTTTAGCTTTTGGTCACACGTGTTATCTACTACCTAAGATCTTTTGTAGATCTAAAGACCACATACGTCATTTGGCATAATGTAAACGATATATACAAATTTTTATTACGTGTAATTAGACTTGGTCCAGAACATTAAATATTTTTTACATGAAAAAAAAAAATATTTTGATGGCTTTTACTATTGATAAGTTTGTCAACCTTGGTAATATTAAAGTATCATTTTGAACACCCCAATTGTAGATGAAACGTAAGCATAAACAATACCGATTTTCATTTTCAACACTCCCTCCCAACTGTATCCAAGAAAAAAAGACAATCCAGGTGTGTAAAATAACATAGATTGATACAATTAAGCCAACCTTTACATAGAATTCATGATATTATTTAGTAGAGAAAAAAATAAAATTATTTTTCTATTTACACAATAATGACATGACTAAATATCAGCAACATCTAAAGGCAAAGACAGTCTCTTTCATTATGCAACATAAAGTACCGAAAGGATTCTGTGACTTATGCTTTTGGTGGCCATAACAACTTAGAGATTAGTGCAATTATTTTAGCTCATGGAGGAGGGGAGAGAGAAAGATCGAACAGATAAGAGAGGGTTCAATCAAGCAATCGTCCAAACAAGAGATACCGAAATGAAGGCGATGGAAACCAAGCACCAAATCCACCATCACCAATTCAAAATTCCCACCTTTTGTCCTTTTGCCACTTTCATCTCCTGCTCGTCGCACAATAATAATTCCACAGAGAATACATTCTCCCTCAAATTATTCCATTCTCTCTCTCTCTCTCTCTCTCTCTCTCTCTCTCGTCCTCTTCAAGCTTCCTTCTTCCTCCTCTCCACTTAATTCCCCACTCTCTTATAAACGTTCTCTCTAAATGTCCTTATTTCCCACGCTCCTCCACCCTTCTACGACGCCATTTGCACGTCCCCGGAAATGCTCCCACCCGACCACTCCAGCTTCAACCTCCTCACCCATTTCGTCAATATCCACCCGTCCGATCGCGGTCCCGATTCTGATCCCATCTTCCTCGGAGGCCTGTTCCTGCACCCGAGTAACACCGTCCCTCCTTCCTTCCTTTCCTTGATTTCACCCCATGTCCGTTTGCGTTCCGGTTCGGGTTGTTGTTTAAGGCGCCGCGGCCGCAGGACGCTGCGTTTTGAAGGTTTGAAGGGAAGCAGCGGCGGTGGTGGCACGCCGTTGTTTTTGTCTGTGAGTTTGTCGATAAAGGGAAATGAGGAAGAGTATGTTCCGGAATCGGGACAAGTCCTGGGGCAAAATGGGGATAAAAGCTTTTCATCGGAGGAGACCGCCGTCGTGGCGGTGTTCGAGAAGGATGAGGCTGAGACTGCACGGAAGGGATCGGGTGCTATGAATACCACCAAGCATCTTTGGTCTGGAGCTGTTGCCGCTATGGTTTCAAGGTTCGGTTACTCCAAACCCTAAACCCAGTTCCACCTTTATTTACTTATGATTTTGTGAATAATTATTTGTCTTTGTTTGTGAATTTCCGGACTCTTTTGGATTGACAAGAGAATTATATTATAGTGCTCCTATCCAAGTGTTTTAGCCGTTAAATCGTGATTTTTATTTTTTAAACTGATCCAAATAGATGTATCATGCATGTGAGCCTATGCATGGGGATAATTATTTTCCACTATTCATCAATACAGATGGACGCAATAAACATTCTTATCAACATTTTGACGTAAAAAAGCTCAAATTCCGATAAAATAAATTTTTGTGATGTGTTTTTTATTTTCTGTGGATATTTGAGTAATAATTTGGATTGGTATATATAGAGTTTTGGATTAATGAATATTACTATTTTGGCTGTTGGATTGTTTTTTTAGTTGAGTAAGGGCTCATGCCTTACCATTCTAGAGTCTTGGTGTTTTCTTAGGACGTTCGTTGCTCCTCTTGAGAGGCTAAAGCTGGAATATGTAGTTCGTGGCGAAAAGAAGAACCTTATTGAACTCATCAGGACGATTGCAGCTTCTCAAGGGCTGAAGGGATTTTGGAAAGGAAATTTTGTCAATATTCTTCGCACGGCACCCTTTAAGGCTATCAATTTCTGTGCTTATGATACTTACAGAAATCATCTGAGGAAACTGTCTCGGAGTGAGGAGTCCACAAATTACGAGAGGTTTCTTGCTGGTGCTGCGGCTGGAATTACAGCTACCTTGCTCTGCTTACCTATGGACACTGTATGTCGCAACTTTCTACTGTTATTACTTATTGGTTCAACTGATTTCATCTCATAAGCACATTTTTTTCCTGGCGTCTCTTTTCTTAATTTGTGTTCAAATTAATTTCTTCGTTGAAAGTGAGTCGAATGGGAGAGAAAAAAAAAGAAGAAATAAATAATGGGAGTAAATCATTCCTTCGTCTTTTACAAGGCATCTGAGAAGAAGTTTTCTTCCGGGTGAAGCTGTTTTCGGCTTCCTACGTTGGATGAAGTAATGTTTCGTGTTTTTTGGCCATTGCTTGGAACCTTGGTTTGTGCCTCAAATATGTTGATATTGGAATTTGCCCAACTCCTGGCTTTGTGCTTATAGATTAAGAATTTTCGCAAGTCACATTCTAAAATGTGGATTCTTTCAGATCAGGACAAAGATGGTAGCACCTGGTGGAGAGGCCTTGGGTGGTGTAATCGGTGCTTTCCGCCACATGATCCAAACTGAAGGGTTCTTTTCTCTTTACAAGGGTTTACTACCCTCGATTGTGAGCATGGCACCTTCGGGTGCAGTTTTCTACGGTGTTTATGATATACTGAAATCAGCTTATCTTCATTCACCTGAAGGCAGGAAAAGGATCCAACATATGAAACAAGAAGGTGATAAACTGAATGCTTTGGAACAACTGGAGTTGGGTCCCGTTAGAACATTACTATATGGGGCAATCGCTGGTGCCTGTTCTGAAGCTGCTACATATCCATTTGAAGTTGTGAGGAGACACCTTCAAATGCAAGTTCGAGCAACTAAGTTAAGCGCGCTTGCAACTTGTATTAAAATTGTCGAGCAAGGAGGTGTGCCTGCTCTTTATGCAGGATTAACACCAAGCCTATTGCAGGTACGGAGCCCTTACAATTCTTTAGATGAGAATGATTTTCGATCTTTTGTCGAGCTCTTTCTCATTTCATCAGGTTTACGGTGAAGTTCCTTAACGTTTTTGTTATGTCCTTACTCTTCAGGTTTTACCATCTGCTGCCATAAGTTATCTTGTATACGAGTTCATGAAGATTTTTCTCAAAGTCGAGTCTACATAATAGTTTTGAATCCATATAAAGATCCGAAGGTTCTTGTCGAGGATGACTAGTCGAGAATGATTAGTTTGCTTGTAATTTTTCTTGATTTTCCATCGTCATTTGAGTAGTTACAACTTACAAGAGGAAAGCAACAGTCAACTCATATAGTCAAAGAAGAATTAAGGGCAAGCTGCGTGTGCTTGACCCGGGTGTATTATTATTTTGAGATTTTGATTGTCTTGTATTTGACTAGTACTTTGAGATAAATGAGCAAAGTTACAGATGCTTAGAATTTGTTTTTATCTAATTAATCATTAAAATCATGAATAAATGAGCATATATTGTGGGAAATAATTGTCAAGAGAAACGTATCTGAGCAGGTTTTTTCAAGTAATTAAAGATCGTATCAAATTAGAGATTATAATTTTTAAATAGTGATTTTTTGTACATTCGGGTTTTACCTCCGGACACCCATTACTTATTTAAAGAAAAAGACTTTTATATCCATATATAAAATTACCATAAAGGGTTTAGTGAACTTTTAAGGAAAACAATTATTTCCTTTGGACACCTATAAGGTTTGGAAACAAACCACGATGTAACCGCGACTTAATTTGGATCTAGCTCTGGTGTTGATTTGAGATATTCGCGATCTGATAGGGAAGGCAGAATGGGTGCAAAAAAAAAAAATATCAAAACTCTGTGTCCAGAGAAAAATAAATTAATAAAAAGTAAAAGAAGGGTATTCTTGGAAGTGTGGCAAATTTTTTGGGTGTCTGAAGAAATGTGAGTAAATTGGACGTCTAGAGAAACAAATGTGTCAAGAGACGAAACTTGGGTGTATAAAGTATCACTCTTCTATATAATAGTTTCGAGCTTTTAAATGAAATGATCTAATTTCTACCCGTTATTGCTAAAATGATTAGTTTTTAGTATACCATGATATCTCATCAATGCATAGTCTATATATGATAAATAGGATACTTGATTCTATCATTTCAACAATTGCGATTTGATTTTAGATCATTTTAACCAAAAGCCCAAGAATTTTTCACCTCCGATCGAGTGGCCGCTCATTGGACAATGTCACTCTTCTAACATTCTTTATGCTATACATCAAAACTTGGAGAGACTATTCGTAGTGTCAGGAATTGAAGCGGCACTTCACATGTCATAATACAAATAGAGAAAATGATGAACTTTTTCGTGTCCCCCAACTTGTATTATGACGCAAGGAATGACCGCTTAGATACCAGGGACTCAGAAAAATTCCTCCAAAAGCTGATCCAAGTTACAAGAGTGCAAAACTAGATTGTCATAACAATGAAAGAAACGTAACCAGAAAGAAAACAAAGGAAATCGAGCATCTTATTACTTGGGGAACTTATACAAAAGCAATGCATGCACAAACTAGTTTGAACCATCAGGTTGGGTCCTATAACGGCAAACATGTCGGCAGGGTTAGGGTCTACAGTTCTGTTTAACGTTTCATGAAAAACGTTAGGACCATGTGCAGGAACAAAAACGACTCCCAAAAGAATGTACAGCCAGATTTTGTTTCTGCGACTTTCAACCCTACTGATTTTCCTAACACGACCGCGATTCCATAACTATCTTTGTTGCATTGGTATAACCTCCTAATTCCATGCATTAGTTCCAACTGTCACTACTTCCGACCGTACTGTTGATTTCGTGTACTCACACCTCTATCAGCAGCAGGAACTCCATATTGACTGTTTTGGGAATGGTTTGGAGGGCCAATTCCATAACCAGCGGCGGCTCCTCTTGTGCTAGGACAACTAGTTCCACTCCCAGCATATGGTGGAGCATGTCCTTGCGTTGGATATGGTCTGCCACTGTAACCTCCAGCTTGATCTCCACGATTCATATGGTAAGGCCCACTCTGGTTTCCACTGGGAGGATACCTGCTTGGGCCTCCAGGAGGACCGTGCGGCTTTCCATAGTGGTGGTGGCTAGGTCCAGCAGATAATGAGGGCTGGGTATCAGTCATCGGATGATGGGACCCCTGCCGTTGTGGAGGAGCTTGCGCGGTATGTTGAATGGGAGGCAGGCAATCATTCTTATGAGAATGCTGTGACTTTGATCTCTTTGATACGTCTTCAGTTTGCTGCTGCTGCTGCTTCCTTTTCTTTGTTTGGAATTCATGTGATGATTCATACTTAGGCAGGCTGTACAATGAAAAGACAGTACAGGTTAACAAATATATAAATACGAAGAGAAACCTGGAATCATAGGCATTCCAAAAGACCTAAACGACGACAACTCAAATTCCCACAATGATGGGTCCAACGCTATGCCGCCACTTTCAGATAAAGGGACACGTATTAGACTAGTAGGTGACTAAACCTGGTTAGCGATGCACATGTGATGAGCAAGAATCGCTAAATGGGGTCAGTTTTGTAAGTCAACGAAAAGAGGAGCAAAATACAAATTGTCATCCTGGGTAGGCACAACACAACTGGGTTTTTATCACCATCAGTGGGGAACTGTTTGTGGGACGGACAACTATTGAATGTGCCAAGTGATTCAATAAACTCAAACGGAGTACAGACAATTTAAAATAGCAAAACACCTCTTTGGATCACAGGGTAAAGGGTCAGCCCAGAAATAATCAGCATTCAGTGCTTGCTTCGCAGTCCATCTCTACATAGGAGACAATAGATAAGAAGAAAAATTATTGAAGCACCCAAAATTTAAACCCTATATTACAGAAGTGTGGAAAATTTCTCAATCTACATTATCAAATTCATTCCTCCACAGTAGCAGCAAATGTGGCCAAAATGCTTGATTTTCAGTTAGTGATGATCCATAACGTTGGTCAGTATACAATTATATTACTTTCCTTGAAGCCTCCTGATAATGTGCATTATATGATTAATCATAATCTTCAAACAAATATTCAGCTCAACTATTTGTTTGAGCCAGTATATATTTGAATTCAGGTTTCCATACCAAAAAATGGTAGCAAATGAATCATGCTAGTATGGCTGATCTACTAAAAAAAACATAGCAAAACAGAAACTCCTCCGATTCTAGAACAAATTTAGACTCAGGGATACTAGAAAAATAATTATGACAAGCATGTCCAATTTAAGCGGTACCTGATTTGGATCAAGAGTTAATAAGTGCTCCAGTAAATCCAAAGCATGAAAGTCAAAACTGAAATGGACATAGAAAACTAATGAGCAAACAGATTCAAATAGCTTATGACATTAATATTCAATCATAGTACTTACAAAACTCATCAATTGTTTACTTACTGTCCAAAAATTTCCCCAACACATCGTTTCATGGTTTTTGTTGGCTTGAGATTATTATACCAAGGAAGTTTTGAAACATCTGGCCAGTTGATATCATCAGGTGATCCACAAAGCTCGAATATCTTGTTCAGTTGGTCAGGCTACAATAAATATGAATAAAACATATATCACAAAACTTAGCCTTGTGAAATTGTTTGTCCATGTCCCCAGATCTATGCGACTCACACATTTATACATACCAGTGTACAGAATCATAACTTCAAAATGATGAGCCAAAAAAACATGCTTTACTATGAACACAAGGTCGTCACACCAAGGCACACAAATGTTTCCATTCCCTAGTCATGTATGTCTTTTATACTTTATAAAACCCCCAAATTGAGAAAAAATAAAAATAAAAATAAAAAACAAATTATCTTGATTCTTGAACCAACCGCATCATAGTTAGACACCTCAAAACAATTAAACATAAAAAATAAAAAAACAAAAGTCCTGGTACAGCCTCTAATAGGGCACAGCAAGAACTTTTACACCTTAGAATGAAACAAGTTGGAAGAAAACTCCACCGAACACTTCCTTCAAACACATGCTCCTCAACAGATATTTGATTTTACTGTGCATATTTCCAAAAAGGCATTGAGATCTTAATCTTAGATTGCGGAAAAACAGTGCATATCTTTCAATAACATATAGTGTAACTAAATCTGAAGCAATCTATAGCTAATTGAATTAAGACCTCGCAGTTTCTCAATATTAGCCAAAATGTAATGCAAAATGTGGTAAATCATCAATTCTAAAACCAATTATCAGGGTAGAGAAGAATGACTGGCTAACTAACTTCATTTCTTCCTTGTAAAATTGGCTTTCCATGCAGGAGTTCAGCAAAGATGCAACCAACAGACCACATATCAACAGCTGGACCATACTTTGTGGCTCCAAGCAGCAACTCCGGGGGCCTGCTCCAATCATATCACTGACCAAACATCAGGCATACTCCTTAAATGAATCAATGCTTTAGCAACACAAATTTCCAATGGTAATTATGAAGGAAATGTTTACCTATACCACAAAGTAATGACACGATTTGTAAGATTTCCCTCGTGGTTACTACAATAATACTTTGCAAGCCCAAAGTCTGCTAGCTTCAACTTCCCCTCATTATCTATCAAAAGATTAGAACCTGCAAGAATAGGCATTATTCTGATATAGCTCCTGGTGCAACATATTAACAATTCTCTCCGACAAAGGAGATGATATAACTTGTTAATTAACCTTTGATGTCACGGTGAAGTACTTTATTAACATGACAGTAATGGAGCCCAGTCAATAACTGCTTCATATAACACTGAAGAATACAAGGTGAGAGAACTGTTAGTAACTTGATGCTACAGAATCTTCTCTCATCCAATATTCTAAAAAATATCTAATACCTTTATTTGGGGAACAGTAAATGTCTGTCCAGAACGAACAGTAAGGCCTGTCAGATCATGATCCATGTACTCAAAAACCATATAGATGCCACCCTTGGACTTACTACTATCTGTAATCGAAAAAACAAATGTTAGAATAACGCCCTTAGACAAAAAATTGATACAAATTGACACTCTCTGAAATCACATACACAGTGATTTAACACGCACAACTGACTAGGATTTCATGCAACAGATTTGTGTACCTTGATTCTCTTGCTTATCCCTTTCAGGACCTTGATTCTCTTGCTCATCCCTTTCACGACCCAGATTCCTTAGCTCATCCCTTTCGGGACCTATGAGCAAAACATAACCAATATAAACGTTAATGCATAAAATGGTGATGTGAGACAAAACATGAACGATAAAAACAAAAGTACCTGCAGAAGTTACAATCTCTTTCAGCTTAACAACATTTTCATGATGAAGCTTCTTCAGAATTTTAATTTCCCGGATTGCAGTAATAGGGAACTAGATAAACAAAGCAAAAGTTCCGCAACTTATTATAAGATGTGAAATAAGTGCGTTCCACAATGTGTGTGTATTTACGTAACGGAGTAACCTTGGGTGTGTGTGCGCACTGTGCAAGTGGGTGTACTTAAATACCCGTAGTTTCACATAATCCAAACCAATTTCTGACTTATTAACATGGTAAATGGAAAGAAAAATACCCCTTCTTTTTCATTATCCATGCGTATTTTTTTCAACGCAACAATTTCCCCAGTTCTGGTTTCTCTGGCCGTGAACACTTGACTGCAAAAGAACAATCATGCAGGAGATGAAAATGTAGCTTGATTAATTCATAATTAAGAAAAATCCACACAAGTATTTGCACTTCATTATGTAAAAGCTTATTTACTTTTGCTTCAGATTAGACATATTTGTTTGAAAAAAAATAAATAAAACATTAGACATAATTTCCACACTGTTGGACTTCTGTTTACATCACCATTGTTGTCTTAAAGAAACTAATAATCTCTACTTTTAATCAATTTTATTATTTAAAGATCGAGATTAACTACATTTTTAGTTTTTCTTCCCATGCTAATAATTATACAAACTATTATCAGAAAATACTAACGACAACAACAAGGAGGCCAAATCCTCACAACCAAGAACACAAGATTAAAACCTAATTATATCAATCATGATTTCACAATTTTACACAACATATTTCGAATTTGTCCATTAACAGATAAATTTTCAAATAAACATGAATTCTTTACATACTTAAGTTCCTAATTAGTACAAGGGCAATCATCGTTCATGATTAAATTTAAGGGAGGAGAGAGAGCGGGAGAGAGAGAAAGAGACAGACCCATAAGTGCCTTCGCCAATGTGCTCGAGTTTCTTAAAGCAGTCGACGCTTCGAGAACCCAACGAAGTTAACGGTTCGGTGTTTATCTGCCCAGGTGCCGCTGCAGCCATCGCTCGCCACAGTTTCCAATGGCTGCCGAAACTTTCAGTCGAGGTAGAGAGACAGCTATTTCCCTCTCGACCCTTCGGAAAGAATATTATTTTGGTTTTTAAAGAGAGAATTGTTATTATCATTTCAAAAATTTTATTTTACATTTCAAACTTTTTATATTTGGAAAGAAAAATATACTTATAAGAAGTGTAGAATAAGATTTTTGGAGTGCCAATAACACTTCTCATAGAGTAAATTATAGCAATGATGCTTTAATTTTAACTTAATTAGAGCAATTATCTATTAACTAAAAATCTATTACTATTAGTCTATCGACTCATCAAAACGTGCAACTATAGTCTCTCAACTAAAAATTCATTATCATTTGTTCCTCAACTTTAATCCAACTACAGAAATGGTCCATCAACTTTAACCTAATTGGAGTAAAGGTTCCTTAATTTTAACCCAATTATAACAATGGTTCATCTAACTTATCTCATTTTGACAAAATTCTGGTGAAGTTGATGAACATGACCATAGCTACACGTTTTGATGAATTGATGTATCCCAATTGTAGCAATGGTCATTCAGCATAACTTATTTTGACAAAATTTTGACGAAATTGACAAAAAATGAACATAACTACACATTTTGATGAGTTGAGGGACCAATTGTTGTGAATTTTTAGTTGACGAACCATTGCTTTAATTTGATTAAAATTGAAGAATCATTTCTACAATTTATTCTTTAGTTTATGGGGAAAGAGAAAGGCAACATATTCAGTTTTTTTTTTTTTTTTTTTTTTTTCACTTCAGTACTTTAAATTTTTGGGAATTTTAATGAAAAGCTCTCAGTACTGTTTACTTTAACGAAAAATCACATTTTTATAATAAAAATTCAATCATGGTACTATTCATTTTATCCTTTATTTTGTCCTTATCATTAAAACTCGAAGTTTTTAAACCATTTTCATTAGTTTTCCTTCAATCTTTTGGAAAACTAATGAAAAAAATTTGACAACTTTGAGTTTGAACGATAATGACAAAAAAACAAGGTAAAGTTAATAGTGGCAGGTTTGATTTTTTAATGTAAAAATATGATTTTTTATTAAAATGACACAGTATCACATGGTTTTCATTAAAACACTCTAAATTTTTTTTCAATTTTATCCATGAATGATGTAAGTACAGGAGACTTTGATTGTTAAAATAAATTACATAATGAGTATCACAGATGTTACTCAACTAAAATTATTTGATGAATCCTTCAACGGAAGGGGGATCAAAAGACACCTATTTTGTGACACACATTTTGTAACGTTCATTTTGAATTTTTTTTTTATATTTTCAATACATCATTAATACATGATTTATGCAAAAAAAACTAAACAGATCCAAAACTATTAAAACATTAATTTATAAAAAAAAAATGAACGAATACGATTTTATAGAAAGAAAGACTATCAATTAATTCAATGGTCATATAATTTCAAATTTTTTTGATTTTTATAGACGTGATCTTTGAGGAAAAATCTAAAAGATTCACGAGTAATCCTTAAAATATTTTGTTATAGAGTGGGTCCTACAAAACATTTGTGAAAATGTGTGTCAAAAACGAATGTATGTGAAATATTAGCCAAATCAGAAATATTTAAGACATGTAATTGAGTTTAAAGAAATTAATGAATACTTTATTATATAAAAAACAATGAAATTTTATCTTGATAATTACACAGGCAAATGGTTTGGGATTGAATTGAATTTTTGTAAGGATGATATGAATCGAGACTTACAACATTGATGGTTCAGATCGTTGAAGTTCGACGTGGATTACCCCCCACACCTAATCTCCATTTTTTGGAAAAATGGGGATCCCTTTGCATTAAAGACCTGTATATATATGGAAAAACTTTTGAAATGTCATATAAACTTGTTCATATTTTTCAATTTTTCATACAAACTAAAAATTTAAGCAATTTGACATACTAACTTTACAAAACCATTAATTTGTCATCTCATTCTAACTTCATTAAGTTTTTAAGTCACGTGCCTCGCACATGGCTTGTGTTCAGAGTTATTTAGGTCATTTTGACATCTTTTCACAAGTTTTTTACTTTTCTTTAGTACAAACACTTAAATTTTTTACTTTTCTTTGGCACATATGCATCTACAACTCCATTTATAGCACAAAGCATCAACTTGTTTCTCATTTATAGAACTCGTATGTAATTATGTCTTCGTGACATGCTTAAATCCAAACACCCACTTGTGTATCATTACGTATTTGGAATAACTAGAAGAGAGTACATTGCATGATCATTTCATTGCTATCATATCAAAAATATTGTTCCATTGCGAGAGAACCCTACAATTTTTTGTTGAATACAACTTAATAAAAAGGAAGTAAGGTATTAAAATGACTGAAATAACCCTAAACACAAGTCATGTGTGAGGCACATGACTTATATTTAGATGAAAAACTTAACGGAGTTAAGGAGAGATGACAAATCAATGATTTCAAAACATTGGTATGACAAATTGCTTAAAAATTTAGTTTATATTTGTTGATCCCAAAAACTACCAAGCCTACGTGGCGCATAGGCTGAGTAACTAATTAGCTAACTACGTCATTCGATTATATGCGGGGCGTGCCAACTCGTCAGTCGAGTTTGGTCGGGGTGTAAAACATGTTGATGTGGCGTTAGGCATGTTGCTGACTTCTTGATCTTACGACTGCGGCCAAGGAAGGAACACATCTCGACCTTCAAGTTCTAGAACCTGAAGACAAGGTTTCTAGTTATGCGAAGTTTAATTTCAAATTCGGCTTTCAATGTGCCGAATGTAGTAACCTGGTAACACCTCACTTCACCGAGAAGGCTGATGAGATCGCCTCTACCAACAAGGACTCTGGGACTTGGATAAATAACCAGTCGGTCTCGAAGCAATGTTGTCTATCCAAACTGAAGATGTTCCTCAATCGACTAATTCTACTGCTCCAGTACTGTCTATCCAAATTGAAGATGTTGTCGGTTGCCTTCATAATGCTGTTTATCCAAACTGAAGATGTGTTGGAGGAAGAATAGGGAGAAGGATAAAATCTCAAGGGTTGTTGAGAAGCTTTGTGAATGGCAATTTGTGTGTTGAATTGGAAAGACTTGAATAATGCACTCCTTTCTCTATTTATAGTAGCCAACCTCCTCATGGCTGAGCTAGAATCGTATTCGGATTAGAACTCCTCAACCTAATCTAATTAGGTCTCAGGCCAATCCTGACTCTAATAGGACTTTGAACCAAGCTTTTAAACAAACCAGATTCATCACATAATTCTCAACACCCTTAACCTTATGACTCCTTATTGCATTAGGTTTTGACTACTTCACTCTTATCTAAACCAATTCCTTTACTCCTTATTGCATTAGGTTTTGACTACTTCACTCTTATCTAAACCAATTCCTTTCGCAATAGGATTCGGCCAGCCTTAACTGGATGGCCCACAAGAAAATTCTAGATAAATGTCATTGGGCCGAGAATAATCCTAGGCTCGGCCCAAAATAATATTTTGGGCCCAAACATTAGCCCCTCGCTTCTGAGGTCTTCGGCCTGCAAGTCCTGGTCGAGCCTCAACCTTGAAGAAGCAAAATAATTCCTTAGCACATTCCTAATAAACCCAAAGACCTCGAATGCTCCAACCACCTAGGCGCATTTATTGAGCACGATAGCACGATCCCTTAAACATGTTAGATTCCTTTCCACGTGGCAGTTTCTCGGCTTACTTGTCCGTCTTTAATAATGACATTCAAAGCGTGCAAACATTGAAACGTCCCTTCGCCATAAACCTCACCGTCATACGCAACTATGCATCCTCAATCTGCGAGCTTTTCTGTCTCTTCATCTGGATTCTTTGGATATCCATCATGATTACAAAACTCTTCGGTCGATTTTACCCTTTATTCTTTTAAAACTAAACTGTTGATCTTCCTCCCAAATGCTTATAAATACATAGCTCATTTTCATTTGGATTTTTAGGCTTTCAAAACCTCCAAACACTCTTGCTATTTACTTTTAACCCAGAAAAGGAACCAAACTTCGAAACCCAGAAACCTTCAAACCTTCATCAATGGCTGCCAACACCTTCATCACCAACCTTGCCGAAGAATGCAACAAGTGCAAGGACTTTATCGACCGAAACGCCATCAAGTCCCTTCAATCCAAGGGTGATTCGAGCGCCCTCCACCTAACTCTGGGATTACTTTTCAAGGATAATGTCCCAGAGTCAATTACTAACATGTTAAAGCCCCATTGCCTTGAACCCCTCTTCCAAGGGTATGATTAGTCAAAGTGGGAGTCGCCCAGACCCCAAGGAGTTTGGTCATCAACCACCGCAGCTTGGGCAGCCTGGGTCACTCGCACGGAGCCATACTTCGACGATGAATAGAAAACCTTTGGAATTTTCAACGCCATCAAGCTTTTGACCCATGAAATTATCATGGATTGAGAACTTCTGATGGCCGCCCTCAGCTTCTGGTGCTTAGCCACCAACACAATGGTCATTCCCCTCGACCCCATCGGCCCAACTATGCTAGATGTTACGGCCATACTTGGCACCTCCCCCTTTGGTCTCCCAGTCGACCCCACTCTCTCGTGATACGAGTTCAACCTCGACCTGAAGGTATGATAAGAGCATATTTATGCAACTTTGTTAGCTTGTTTCTTTGCATTTAGTGAGTTAGTTTCTATTTATTATAGTGATTTAGTTTATTTTTGTATTATTATAGGTCTAATTGGTGAAAATGACAATAAAAGGCTAAATGGAGCATTTTGGAGCAATTTTGGGCTTGGATTGGTTAGCATGCGTGTGGAGCATAATTGATGGACGTTTTTGGAGTTTTACATGTGCTAAATATGTCCTACAATTTAGAGAATCAAATTTGGAAGCTTGGAAGACAAGGAATCAGCTGAAAATAAGGAATCTGCTGAAAAAAAGGAACCTTATCCAATCTTATCCAAACTAACCTTATCTAATCCTATCTTATCTCATCTTATCCAAACATTATCCCAATTTATCCAACATTATCTCAGATTATTTCTAGCTGTAAAATGAGTCC